TATGTGTGTGTGTGTCAGGGAGCTTGGCTGTACTGAGCGTGTGTGTCACTGAGCTTGGCTGTAGTGAGCATATGTGTATCAGTGTGCTTGTCAGTGAGACTGTCTGTGTCTGCATTCTTTTGCGATCACCACCTCTCCTGGGGGGAGGAACATGATCAATGGCCATCAATTTCAGGTCCTGAGAAATGATGTAATGCTACCTTTGGAATTTCAAAAGTCCCCTATATTATGCTACAAGAGGAATATAAACTTGAGGGATCTATTAGTGAACACGGATGCAGTACATTCTTATTCTAAGGAACAAACACCACAGAACTTGGGCTGTTATCGTTGCCTGGGATGTGTTTCTTGCATTCACACATTCACACATCCACACACTGGGAAAAGCTATCATATACAACATCTACTAACATACACGAGTGATTTTTGTGGTTTACAAACTGTTATATCCCTTTGGATTGACCTATATTGGGAAGACTGACCTACCATTGAGGGAACAGCTCAGGAATCATAGGTCCAGTATAAGAACTGCATATAGGGATAACAAAACAGATCTTCTGGTAGCAAAACATTTTTTGGAACTGGGGCATACATTACCATCCCTGAAATTGATGGCCATTGACCATGTTCCTCCCCCCAGGAGAGGTGGTGATCGCAAAAGAATGCTTTTCCAATGGGAACTATATTGGATTAGAACTTTACAAACCGTTCACCCAGATGGGTTGAATGAGAAGTATACTCTGTCTGCCTTTCTATAGTATGGTATTATTATGGAGAATGTTGACTGTCCCCCGTAGCCTGACTAATACTGGAGTGGGGCGATTGGTGCTCACCCTTTGGGTTAAGCAACCATCCCTTAGGCCCAGTGAGATGATGGCTGACCACTGAGGTTTAACTGTTATCAGTTGGGTTGATGTTTGATTATTGACATAATCCAGAGTGGGTGATTGGTGCCCACCCTTTTGGGTTAGGTTACTATCCCCAGCACTCAGTAGGATTATGATTCAATATGGGCTTTTACTCTACCTAGTGAGTGCCACTAACTCACAGTATAGATGCATAGGTTTACTCATGATCTGTTGAGGCTAATCAGTTTTGTACATAGGGGTCTGGTGTCTAGTATATATAATAAACACCGTCATTCTCCTATGATGTGATATGTAACATTGTTTCTGGCCTGATATTCTGGAGTGGGGTGATAGGTGCCCACCTTTTGGGTTAGGCAACCAACCTCTTTGTGAAGTGAGATGATGGCTAATTATTGAATTTATTTAAATTTTTCTTGGCTCGCTATATGTATGTATCTGACTATATCCTGAGTGGGGTGACTGGTGCCCACCCTTTTAGGTTAGGCTACTATCCCTAATATTCAATAGGATAATTACTTAGCAATGGTTCCAAAATGAGTTTGGCTTCAATCTACTCTCTGTGTATATATGTATAGTTTCACTTAAGAATCTAGTAGGTATATTTTCTTGTATATAGTGTTTTGGTTTATTCCTTTTGGTGGTCCGATAGCCTTCTTTGGGGATATTTTCTGTCCCATTAGCAATTAGTACCCCATGAAGTACTCAGCAATATAGGGCATGTGAGATTAGTCGACCCTTAATATCAGTGTTGGATTTTCATATTAGGCCATGGCCACCACTGAGGCACTAATCCTAGCAGCACAGGAACAGGCAATCAGCACCAGAGCAATAGAAGCTGGAGTCTACCACACCAGGCAAGACAAAAGGTGCAGACTGTGCTAAGAGGCCTCTGAGACAGTCCAGGACCTAGTAGCCAGATGCAAGATGTTAGCAGGAACAGCATACACAGAGAGACACAACCAAGTTGCTGGGATTGTGTACAAAAACATCTGTACAGAATATGGAATGGACCTGCCTAAGTCCAGATGGGAGATACCACAAAGGGTAGTTGAGAATGACAGGGCTAAGATCCTGTGGGACTTCAAGATCCAGACAGACAAGCAAGTGCTGGCCAATCAATCCAACATCATGGTGATAGACAAGAAACGAAAGACTGCAGTTGTGGTGGATGTGGCAATACCCAGTGACTATAACATCAGGAAGAAGGAACATGAGGAGGTGGAGAAATACCAAGGACTGAAAGAAAAACTAGAAAGGATGTGGAAAGTGAAGGCAGTAGTGGTCCCAGTTGTGATAGGAGCACTCTGGGCTGTGACTCACAAGTTGGGGGAGTGGCTTCAACAGATTCCAGGTGGGACATCTGAGATCGCTGTTCAGAAAAGTGCAGTTCTAGGAACAGCTAAGATACTGCACAGAACCCTCAAACTCCAAGGTCTCTGGTAGAGGACCCGAGAATGAGGAATAAACATACCACTTGGGAGAAAATCAATTATTTTTTAATATTTAATTTTATATATATATATATATATATATATATATAAACAAATCTAAAAGGTAGTCTGCACTCACAGATTTCTTTTAAAGCTTAGTATTTTCTTCTACATATAAAAAATAACACTTACATAAAGTGGTAGAAGTTCATAGAGGGTGAACGTTTCAGTCCTAGTTTGGGACTTTTGTTGTACTGAGGAAAGTCCCAAACTGGGACTGGAACGTTGGCCATCTATGCACTTCTAACACTTTATGTACCGTGTTTCCCCGAAAATACACCCTACCCCGAAAATAAGACCTAGCTGAATTTTCGGGGTGGGCTGCAATATAAGCCCTACCCCGAAAATAAGACCTAGGCATTGTACCTTTCGGTCCGGCGGGACTTCCTTCTTCTATGAGGAGGAGGAGGAGCGTTGCAGGCCGCGGCATCGCGCAACGTGATGACGACGTGCGCAGCGTCGTCAGTCTGCCTTCACGGATCTTCAGCGGAAGGATCCATTTCCGGGCGGTGAGGCACCCAGTGGTCGGACTCGGCGGGCAAGGAAAGCATCTGTGAGTAGATATTTTATGTCTGGGACTGAATTAATTAAAGGGGGCGGTGAATTAATTAAAGGGGGGGCTGGATTAATTAGAGGGGGGTGGATTTATTAAAGGGGGGGTGGATTAATTAGGGGGGTTGGAGGGGCTGGATTAATTAGAGGGGGATGGATTTATTAAAGGGGGGTTGGATTAATTAAACGGGGGTGGATTTATTAGAGGGGGTGGATTTATTAAAGGAGGGGTGGATTAATTAAAGGAGGGGTGGATTAATTAAAGGAGGGGTGGATTAATTAAAGGAGGGGTGGATTAATTAAAGGAGGGTGGATTAATTAGAGGGGGCTGGATTTATTGGGGGGGTGGATTTATTGGGGGGGTGGATTAATTAAAGGAGGGTGGATTAATTAAAGGGGGGTGGATTAATTAGAGGGGTGGATTAATTAGAGGGGGTGGATTTATTAAAGGGGGGTGGATTAATTAAAGGGGGGGTTCAATGTACATACCGGTACCATAAATAAATAAGCCCTACCCTGAAAATAAGCCCTAGTGTGTTTTTTGGGACTAAAATTAATATAAGACCCGGCCTTATTTTCGGAGAAACACGGTAGGTGTTATTTTTTTATATATAGAAATAAATGCTCAGTTTTAAAAGAAATCCGTGTCTGTGAGTGCAGACTACCTTTTTGATTTGTTTGTATGGACTTGTGACCACAGTCTAGCACCCGGTATTAAAACAGTGATTATATTAAAGCAGGAGTGCAAAGCAAGATTGAACTGTGTATATATATATACACACACACACACACACACACACACACATTTCGTGGCACAAGGACTTATGGGGATGGCAAACATTTTTTTCCAGGGCTGCTTTGAATTCCCAGTCCAGCCCTGTGCAGGGGAAGAACTAAATGAATCAAGACTTTGGAGTTAAACCATTCGTTAACAGTTTAACACTTAAAGGTAGCCGGCACCAAGGACCTCATGGCAGCTTAATAACATTCCAAGTAAGTTGTTATGAAGCCCAGAGTGTTTTTTTAAAGTTCTTCAGCACATACACTGATCAGCCACAACATTAAAATCACAGACAGGTATTGTTAATAACAATGATTATATCCTTACAATGAACCCTGTCAAGGGGTGGTGTATATTAGGCAGCAAGCAAACAATCAGTTCTTAAAATTCATGTGTTGGAAGCAGGAGAAATAGGCAAGCAAAAAGATCTGAGTGACTTTGACAAAGACCAAATAGTGCTGGCTAGACGACTGGGTCAGAGCATCTTCATTCATTATATTGTGGTGTGTTCCCATTATGCAGTGGTTAGTACCTACCAGAAGTGGTGCAGAGAAGGTCAAATGGTGAATCAGCGTCAGGATCATAGCCACTCAAAGCTCATTGATGAACGTGGTGAGCAAAGGCTAACCCGTCTGATCCGATTGCACAGAAGAGCTACTGTAGCTCAAATTGCTGAAAAATGTCATGATTGAAAGGAGTCAGTACATACATTGCATCACAGTTTGCTGCTTACGAGGCTGTGTCGCCGCAAACCACTCAGAGTGGTCTCTGTGCTCTGGGCAATGTTCTGCAGGGAAACCTTGGGTCCTGGCATTCATGTGAATATTGACACCTACCACTTACCTAGAGATTGTTACAGACCACGTGAACCCCTTCATGGCAATGGTGTTTCCTGATGGCAGTGTATAATGCACCCTGCCACACTGCAAACATTGTTTAGGAATGGTTTGAGGAACATGACAAAGAGTTCAAGGTTTTGCCATGGCCTTCAAATTCCCCAGATTTCCATCCGATTGAGTATTTGTGGGATGTGCAGGAACAACAAATCTGATCCATGGAGGCCCCAACTTGCAGGACTGATCAGTGTATAAGCATAGTATTCACACAATGACGCTTTCAACAGAGACCAAGTGCCACAGGCAGTAGAATAATATAATATTCCAGTTGATATATAATCTGTTTGGACTGCAGTGGATTGTTTTTTCAATCTTCAAATCAATCAAAATTTGTATTTTTATTTTATTTTGATTATATTGCATAGTATCCTAAAGATGTACATAAGACACGAGTGAGCCATTGTTTATACCCATTTATTTATTTGTTTTATTTTTTTGATAAATACAAGTATTGTTGGAAATCACAGGTTTGCACAATAAAAATCAAATGCAAAATTCCAACATTGGTTTAAGTCTAATAAAATACAAAAAACCTTATGAGGAAAGAGAGTTCTACCAATTTATAAAACAAAAAAAAAACTAATGGAAACATCAGAAGGCAGACTCTGGTTACCTGAAGGGTTTGCTTAGCAAGGAAAGTACATAGAAAGGCAGCTCAGTTATTACATTACAGGAAGCTGCACACATGCAGATTTATTAAGTCGATAACTATAACCACTATGTGTCTGGATACCCTTTAATGTATTTTTGAGCAATGTTTTTTAAGTCCAGTAAATCAATGGACTGGCAGAGGGGTGGAGAACATATTGTGTGTTTTTCTGGCATTCACAGGTTGAACACGATGAACAGTGTGTGTTCCTACACACTCTCTGTTGATGTTGTACAAGACGAATACAATATATATATATATAAGCCTTTGATCATTCTCCTCTACAAGCCTCTTGCTAAACACCTATGTTATATTTGTCAAGAATATTTTACTGGTTTCTTTTGCATGATTTTTCTCCCCAATACTGCAGCCAAGATACAGTGATGATGAGCACATAATGTGCCATGCCATGATATGTTATTTACAATGATGTATATACTGGTGTCACTAACAAACGGAAACTTCATGAAACTTTGAAAGTACGTGCATTCATTCTTTCTATAATAACATCATCAGAATTCCCACACACCTTATTAAAGGGTCACCCAGACCACTTCAGCTCAATGAAGTGGTCTGGGTGCCAGCTCCCTCAGGTTTTAACCCTTCACATGTAAACATAGAAGTTTTAGAGAAACTGCTATGTTTACATAGCAGGGTTAATCCAACCTCTAGCGGCTGTCTTCCTGACATCTGCTAGAGGCGCATGTGTGATGTTGGATGCGAAATTCGCATCCAGTGTGCAGAACGTCCATAGGAAAGCATTAAGAAATGCTTTCCTATAGACAGTTTGAATGAGCGGGCGGCACTTGGGAGCTGACGTCGGCAGGGGATAAAGGTAAGCTGCTGAAGGGATTTTAACCCCTTCAGCACCACGGGAGAGGGGCCCTGTGGGTGGAGGCACCCTTAGGGCACTATAGTGTCAGGAAAACCGCTTTGTTTTCCTGACACTATAGTGATCCTTTAATGTCATGGAAATTAATCTAGTTCTATGTATCTAAAACGTCTTACACAATTTTAACACTAGACAGCAACATAACAGTGATAGAAAAATGACCAATTGAATGCTGACTGCTTATAGAGAGATCACACTTTCTTGTACCTAGAACCTTGCTGATTCGCATAAACCCAAAGCCTGCTTCTTATACAAGCTTCCTTCACATGAAGAAATGTTATATTGTGTCCTCCCACTGGGAAGAGTCATAGTGTGGCTGATTTCTTTCTTACCTTTTGTGTTCTACCTGCTATGATATAATTTTTATAACTCCCTACTTTACTTACTTCTTTTAGATGATAAGCTTATTTCCATTATCATTCCCATATCACACAAACATTTCAGAATCACCAATAAACTTTGGATTCTGTGAAATTCTTTATCTACCTGGCAGTACGTCTGGGGATCTGCTCTGTTTCATAAATTAGAATAAGATGTAATATGACAGTGAATTATATATAGAACTGTTGGTTTTCAAACACTATTTCACCCAAGGTGTATGTATATGGCTAAGGGTCCTGTCATATACAAAAGGTAGTTTCTTATTTATTTATTTTTTTACATATACTTCATTTAAAATAAAAATCTATTTCCTTTGAAAACTTGATGAAAGGATTATTATATTAAGACGTAGTTTAGTAGATACAACTGTAATCTGATTTGTAACAATGTTCTTCATTAACAATGGCATTGTAACGTAGCCGCACTCTAATTCATGTCATGCTATATTAACATCTCAGTAGTAATGCACACTATTTAAATCTTCAACAGCAGTATTTTAATATTGTATGTACAGGTTAAAGTACCAGCAGGATAAAAAAAGTACTAGAAGAATAAGTCTGTGTTTTAGGCACTGCTGTAAGCTTGCGTGGTACATTTGTGTGTTTTTAGATATTTACTACTATCAGCAATTGCATTCACACTTTTACTGGCAATGTCTTCGTCATTCAAGCATTTTCTGTGACAATGACTCTAGCATGTTATTGTAGATTGTATTGGATGAGATACCAAGCCTCAAGTCTGTTATCTTTCCCTGATTACATTACTGTCTTTAACACTGTGAACCAGCTGTCCTCAGGCTGGGAAGGTTACAGACAATGCAGGAACTAATGTGGTTTGTATGTGCTAGTGCTGGCTAGCCTCTGAAAGCCAGTCCTCTGGCTGTCAGCATCATAGAAAACTTTAGGCTCGTGCAATTAGCCTGAATTTAGGCCGATTCGCTGTTCGGCCAAATGCCATATCTCCGAAGTGATATACCTACGTATAGCCGAGCAAACGACAAGTGTGACGGCCGAACATGTTTTTTGGTATTTGGAGTTCTGTTCGATTAATGGCTATGGGAAAGGACGCTAAATGTTAATTTTATTCACAGATCATGTGTGAAGAAACCAGTAGAGGAGGAATAGGAGGACCAATAAAAATTTTTTTTATATTTGTTTTTTATAGTTAATAAATAGTTTAGTTTTTTACTGTCCCCCCCCCCCTCTTCTTGCCTGCATTGGTCACATTTTCTCACTTGATATGTGAACTAAATGATGGAAAATGCACCTATCAGTGTACGGAAAAAAATAAATATAAGTACTCACTTTTTATATAGATAGATATATATCTAAGTGAAGCAGAGAGGCAGGCAGGAATGCTGCAGGCATGTATACAAAGAGACAGAGAAGCGAGCACTGCCAGTGAACATGCCAGTCTTTGCATTGCCGGTACACCTTAACTGCAGTGAGAAACGTGTCCCTGGCCATCCCCAGCTGATGACCCTGATTTTTTTTCCTTTACAATTTTTGGAGGCCTCCAAGCCCGCCCATGCTGAGGGGCTGATTGGGGAAGGTCAGGACCTTCCCTGACTGCTGTAAGCTATAATGCTGCCCCTGTCACAGTGCCGCCTGGAGCCGTGGTCCCACATAGACCTATGGGCGGACCGGCCCTGTATATATATATATATATATATATATATATATATAATATTTATGTTATGTATTGTAGTAAATATATATTAAGGGTGATTGGAATATGTGTTTTTATGTACATACTTTCTTCTTTTTTAAGAGTTACTCCAACACCCATAACCACTCCAGTGATTTGAAGTGGACATGGTACCTAGAGTCTGTATATGCAGCATTTCACTTTGAAACACTGCACATACGGGGATTAACCCCTCTCTGCGAGAGGTGTAACACCATTTAATAGGGGTATCATCAGTCAGCCCGAAACTTAAATTCTGGGCTGGCTAATGTCAATTCTGTGCAATGTTAATTGCACAGAATGACAGGAATAGGTTGAGAGGGGTCAGCTGATGCTCTCACCCTGTTAATTGTGACCACTGTGGCACTGGACTACCATTGAGCATCGGAGACTGGTGGGGACCCAGGCTCTGATGCTGTTGCTAAACCAGGCCAGGATAGTCTTGGCATCACAATCATTACAGCGGGCTGTAGGGGTTATGATATTTGAACTAACCCTCTAAGTGGCCCAGAGTAACACTCTTCAATATCCCTAAAAAATATTAATAGGCAATGTGACGTTATTTATACAAAAAATATATAATTATCCTACTCACAGTGCAAACAACATACCTGAAAAAAACACTTTGACAGATGGTACAGTGTAACGATGCTACAGAGAGAGAGAGAGAGAGAGATCTTTGATGGAGAGAAAGCACATTAATCCAGATATTCACAGAACAGTCCGTTTGGGTCCTTTGTCTAAAGTTCTATATACTGTAGCTATGGCCGTAAAAGGACATATAAGAACATAAAAATATGTAATATTCTACATGTATATGTTTTGCAGTACACTGATTGGTCCCTTTTTGCGCCCTTTTTGGCTAATCCAAATAATTTTACCAAATATTTTTCATGGACGATATTTTGATAACCCGAACTGTGTCGGAGGTTCCGAATTAAATAAAATTTCATTTCTAGAACAAAATGATTTAGCTAAACCTTATTTTCCCACAGCGCACAAGTCTAGAGGCTAGAGCTACAAGAGTTGGAATGCCAACAGTTAGCCAACCCTAGTGTATGGGATCTATTACAACTTCTGTTTTAACAGCAGCAAATTAGATATTTTGTATCACATTAGGTACCTTAGATCCAAATTAGGAAAGTCTGTAACATGAGATTATATTCTGATTGAGGATTATGGGAGCCAAAGTCTAGAAACAGCAAGAGGATAGAACCTGATAGAAAAAGAATCTTCCTATTTTAATTGCTACCTTCTACCTGGACAACACATTATCCATCTATTAGCAGTTCACGTCTTTGCTTACTGACTGTATGCTTTTAGGAAACATTGTGATGATAGGTTAATACCCATATTTGCTTATTGTCACTGTTTCCAGCCACACAAAAGGCTGTCAGGCCGCATTTGCTTTTAACTGCAAATTAAAGTCTCTAGGATTGCTAATAACAACGTCTTATGGTTTCCAGACTGTTTTGCTGACAATAACATTTTTACTCAAAGTCAATTACATTTTACTCCTTGTAAATAGCTCTTCCACTGCCACAGACTAATGACATCATGCTAAATGAGTGTTGAATCTGTGAGCAGCAGAACATGTTTTATTGCAAAAGTGTGTTAACCAAGTTAAAAGCTTTATGGATCACCTACTGTTCTTTGATTTACCAAGCATTCTGTCCTACCTTAGTAGTTACCTGTAGTGGACTAGTGCTGCATCATGATACTGCCGGGAGGAAGTACAGCAAAGTATAAATGCTTGAGGTCTTCTCTGGGCTGCAATGATATTGCTGCTACTCTTTAAAATAATCCCTGTCGTAAAGGAATTGCTCAGAAGCTGTTCTGCTACTTTAAAAGCTTGATGAAAGAGATGAAATAAGAAATGGATACTGTAGGTTTATATTGACCTGTTTGTGGACTTGCAGATGGCTTGTGTATAATAAGCAAGAGGCTTTAAAATAGTAGAACATTCTACCTGTACTTCACGAGAAAGCGCGGAGAGATTGTCTGTTAGTGACACCGTTGTTCCAGTGATGAAACTCCTCTTTGATCTCCTGAGAATGTTTTATAGGATGAGAAGAAAATCTATAGCAAAGAGAAGAAATTATGCCAGCAAAGCTGAGGTGTTCCAGTAGTGAAGGTACCTTTAGTGGGTTCCTATCCAAAGATTAGGAGATACAGGTACAGGTCCTGCAGAGTTTACCGTTAGAAGGTTATATCAAGGAATCATCTTTATGTTTGCCCAAGAGGTGGGGTACCATCCAAGCTGTTCTCAGATCCAACAGATGAATCTCGAGATGAACGGCCTTGCAAGAAGCGGATGATCTTCTCAATTGTGGCATCTTGGTACTCGTGAGACCACCTGTTACGCAAGAGGAATATTCGATCTTTAATCTATTACTTGTGTATTGTAGCTACTGGTTATAAGTATAATTTTCTGCATCATGCATGTAGCCAAACGGTCTCAAAACATGCAATAATTTTATGTTTGTACTAGTGGAATGTTCTTCAGAGTGTGACTGAGTTTTAATTCCAGTAATAATGCCCCATTAATTTACAGACCACCAGACAGAATGAATACATCTACTACTAAATAGTGTAATACATTCTAGAAATAGATAAACAAACAGACAGACAGATTTATCTATCACCTGTGTGGAAGTAAAAAGAAAAATACAAAATAGAGTATAGGAAAATATAGGTAGAATAATGTGGATGTAAGGGTATCAAAGAACGTGCATTATGGGTTTTCAGTGGTACTCCACCCACATCCAACCATATCTATTTGTAAGATAAAAAAAATATATGTAGCATTCAAACAAACAACGTACTTGATGCCATTGAATTTCAACACCGATCTCATGTCTTCTGGAAGGCTCATTGGATCTGGCCATTCAAAGTGATCAGTGACGGGCACAATGTTTTTACTGCAATTTAGTGCTGTGACAATTTCCTACAAGGCAGAAGAGGACCATTTCAATCTGTGATATGAGTTATAGAGTATAGGTAAGTCTGGGTTACACTTTGGTGGAAACAGTGGGTGGTTCTCCAGAAAAGGATTACAGGCTTATACAAAACAAAAAAAGTGGCACAGTAAAGATAGCAGAGAGAATTCTGGGCTGGCTAATGTCAATTCTGTGCAACTTTAATTGCACAGAATGACAGGAATCGGCTGAGAGGGGTCAGCTGATGCTCTCGGCCCATTAATTGTGACCATAAAATAACAGGTGACAGAAAGAAATTACTACATGTGTTAGAGAGAATGTGGTGTCTATCTACATATGCTTTCACACAAGAAGCCACATGGGTTACAGCTAGCCTTAATCTGAGTACAAGAGGACTAGTTATTTTGGCTCCTGGTTTTTATCATTCAGTGTTATAGTTTTAAGACTATTATGATGGTTTATATATTTGTGACATTTCTCAAGATGTAAATTTTATCCAACAGAAGTAAAGGAGGGTTAATGGGGATTCTGTATTGTTACCTTATGCACCCAATCCTTGCAGTCGTTGTCCCCCATGCATTTGTCCAACGATCCGGCAGACAGGACTAAGATGAAGTTCCTAGCGCTGATCACGCTCTGAATTAATTTTTCCTCAAATCTCCCTGCCTCTAACTTCTCCACGTCAATGAATGCACTGAAGCCATGTAGGTATAGGTGGACTTTAAGGAGGCTGCCAAAACATAGAGAAGCAGATTAATATTCTGAAATGTGCATTCTGTGTAATGCATGCTAATACTAAGTACATTGATTGAACACAAGCAATAACCATTTTTAGTTGTATTTTACATCTGGCCATAGAAAAAGCCACAGTTACACACCTGGCCAGCTGTGATCCTGTGTTCCGGCGATAGCTGATAAACACATCTGGACCATCAGCACTGGATTTGCCTACACTGCACGGCAGAGGAGAGTGCAGCATCTCTGTAAAACAGGTATATACCATGTTTATACTGTCAGGTAAGGCAATTATATAGTGACAACCCCTCTATTTTCTAAACAGGCATAGGCAACCTTGTGTATTCAGAAATTATTTCCAATCTACATTATTATGCTCATAGGAGTTCTGAAGTACCCTGATTTATCACCTGCATTTACCATGCTACCTCCACAAAGTATGACTAGTTACTGAAATGAATGGAGATATATATTTATTGCTGTATTGTATAGCACTTCAAACATGACCTATATGCTACGGTAAAATTATAAACCAGACACAGCTTTTTATTATAAATATAATAAAGGAAGACTATAGTCACCTAAATTACTTTAGTTAAATAAAGCAGTTTTACAGTGGACCTGAGAGGGACGGGTGAAAATTGCACCCGACTATGGGCGCCCTGGATTGAGTACATGGCCCGTAGAATGGCGAGACAACGAGCGCTGGAGACCGAGTAGACTGCAATTTCACTGCTCAATTCACTGTCATTTAGGAGTTAAATCACTTTGTTTCTGTTTATGCAGCCCTAGCCACACCTCCCCCGGCTATGATTGACAGAGCATGCATGAAAAAAAAACTGGTTTCACTTTCAAACAGATGCAATTTACCTTAAATAATTGTATCTCAATCTCTAAATTGAACTTTAATCACATACAGGAGGCTCTTGCAGGGTCTAGCAAGCTATTAACATAGCAGGGGATAAGAAAATCTTAATTAAACAGAACTTGCAATAAAGAAAGCCTAAATAGGGCTCTCTTTACAGGAAGTGTTTATGGAAGGCTGTGCAAGTCACATGCAGGGAGGTGTGACTAGGGGTCATAAACAAAGTGATTTAACTCCTAGATGGCAGAGGATTGCGCGGGGAGGCTGCAGGGGCATGTTCTATACACCAAAACTGCTTAATTAAGCTAAAGTTGTTCAGGTGACTATAGTGTCCCTATGATGAACAAAGGGAAAGAATGGCCTTTCTGTCATTATTCACTGGATATTTTAGCATTCATTATTTTACCTCCGTTTTTATACCATTTCACATAGTTTTTAGTTGAGTTCACTTGCAGAGGAAGGGAATACATTGGTACTACATGATGTGTATTGTGCTCATCATGGGAGAACCTGCTGAATGGTGTTGAACAATTCTGTAGAGTTTCAAAGCTCACACAGATTTGCAACACAGGATCAACAAGTTCCACCAAGAATACGTTTTAAAGGGTACTGTAACTACCTAATCTCATCAAAGTAGTTATGGTGTCTAAAGTCCCCTGCTGCCATGCTTCCATTCAGAATTAAAATGTTTTTAATGCTAAACTTGAGTCACCAGCAACCCATCCCCCCCTGTGATGCTTAGGTTTATGAAGAAGCATTAGCCTGAGCAGCAATGGGCAGATATGTTTGGATGAGAGTGTCAGGTGAAAGCTTTCAGCCATCAGGGCACCACTGTCTAAATGAAGACACATTGTACCTTTGAATAAAACCACCAGCTTGGGTGTAGAAGTGATACCTTTATTTTCTCATGAAAAGGCTTTCAAACTTTTGGGATCCCCTCATCAGACTTATTTATTACGTGAAGCATAAACATATTTATATATAGCCAATAGATTGTAAATATGTTAGCCAATTAATGTATCACTTTCAAAACTTTTTTTGTTATTTTTTTATTCAAGGGCGTAATGTGCTCTCATCTAGTCAACAGCCTAACATTCTACCAACAATTTGCTACATGACTATAAAAATGTAATATTCTGTTGGTGATTTTATTAGCAGGCACATAAACTTATATGAAGGACACGTCATTACAAAAATCAAGATTTCAACAATATTCAACCTGTAAACACCACTTTACCCCAAACAAAGTAAATGTCCTTGATACTGAAACTAAAGGCATATGTCTTATTGTTATAGCGTAGGTAAAAGAGCATGTTGTCCGTGAACTGTCTTACCTCTTGCAGCTGATAAGATGCGTACTCGATGGAACCCTATCTTAATATGACAGTCCTTCTCTAGCTGCTGTTCGGTTACATGGTGCAGGAAGTTACGGTCAATGCCACAAGTAACCAGATTGTAAGTGTACTGTCTGAATCTTGGTTCAACACTGCCTAACCAGTCAGCAAGATTACTACGGTCACAAGTGGAATAATTGGCAAATGTCTTCAACTCGACTAGTTCCCGCAAAAATCTGGACAAAGAAAAAGAAAGGACACATATTTCACATAACAAATGGCAACAGACAAACCTGGCTATCACGACTACTGAATTTTAATTCTCACCTGTGGAGGCAAACTATTTTATACAATTAACCAATCCATTGCTAGCATGTTGTCTATATGTTTTGAAGTTTACATTATTATTATTATTGTATTAGTATGAATATGTATGAAAATATAGTGGAATTTATAGGTGAGAGAAGTTGAAGTTGCATAATGAGCTACTTCCATTTCTCCCATTGACAAAATGATTTGACTTCTATGAAGAGCTGACATAGACTGGCAGACTGTTGGATATTAACTGACTGTCTGACACATGTCTGTGGACTGGAAGACACTATTCATGACTGGATGAAACCTTTCTTATCTGGAAGTTCACTGAGATTAATCTCAGGTGTACTCTACTCTGTGTTTGTATACCTGGTTTGGAGAACCTCATGGACCCATTTTGACCTGCATTGCATTTGCAGTATGTGTGATTAGAATGGATTACAGTAAAATATATAATGATCTAGGATAAGATTTCAACGGGGGAGTGGGTATTCTATTTTCCCAAAACACCTGTTCCAATGTTTTAAGCCAAATGCATATCTCGCTTACAGAAAAAAGGCAGGTATAGGCGTTCGCTATAATGTGAACAGGCAGCAGTAAATTTACAAGGATTCCCAAACCTTGCGTAAGATACAGAAATGTGACAAAACAACAGGTGATAAACCGCGCCAAACAGAAGTGAAAAAATCACACGGATATACTCAATCTTAACAATAACCCAATAATGTGTTAAAATTAGGTATATACGTACTCTCTCTGGAGTAAAGTGATTTTGTATTTCGGTACCAAGAAAACCTCAAAATAAAACAGAAATACAATAAAAAATAGTGAAATGTATCTTAAATGGTTTTAAAGACAGTTACGTATATAGATGTCTCACTCACACTTTTTTTTTTGGGCAATCTTTGTTTTTATTGAAGCATTGCATACATTTGAACAGAGAATAGGCAAACTGAAAGCGTAGAGAGTCCAAATGGTTTACAACACATCAGAATATACTAGCTCTCTTTTTTTCAGCCTCAGTTATGAACAGAACAACCGGTTGCAACTGTGCTAGATAAACATTTAAACATTTTCTGAATGACCTTAAACAGGGAGGTCGGGTTTAGGCGGCCCGTCAGGCAGTTAGTTCACTCTCTTCCTAACACGAAACTTGGTCTAGAACCATTACCGTTATAGTATATGGCAGTTTTTCAGGTGCTTCAGTCTCGTACTCTAAGCTAATGGTGTCCTGTCTGTTATCTGTCAAGATATAGTTGGTCTTGAGTCCGTAGTGTGTGAGTTCCAGGTTAGTCTGGAGTGCCCCGTGCAAAGCGTCGTTTTCCGAGGTGGGTGGGGAGTGGGGGGGGAGAAAAGGGATAGGCCAAGGCGGGGGGGGGAGGGGAGAGTCCGCCAGCACACCCCCGGCCCATGTCCCAGCTCCAAGCTTGTCGTCTCGCCGTTCTATGGGCTATGTACTCAATCCAGGGCGCCCATAGTCGGGTGCATTTCTCCCCCGTCCCTCTCAGGTCCGCTGTGAGGCTCTCCATGCTGTATATTTCCTCCACCTTTTCCATCCAGTTCAATACCGTTGGTACCACATTTGTCTTCCATCGGGCCGGAATCAGGCTTTTGGCAGCATTCAGGAAGTGTCTCGTGAGAGATTTCTTGTATACACCAAGGGACATCGTAGTGTGGTGGAGGAGCATCTGGAGGGTCTGCATCGGTATGTCCGAGTCCAGTCCTTAGTTTCGTGTGTATTTGTTGCCAAAAAGCCGCTATGAGCGGGCATGACCACCAGATGTGCAGGTCAGTGCCTTCATCCGCTTCACATCTCCAGCAGCGGCCCGTAGGTGTCAGGCCCATACGAAATAGCCGAGAGGGCGTCCTGTACCAGCCAGTCATGAGCTTGTAATTAAGTTCCTGCAGTTTCGCACTGGTCGTACCTTGATGCGCGAGGGTGTGAATCTTCTCCCATTCTGAGTTCGACAGGGTGGTTCCCGTGGCTTGTTGCCATTTAGATTGGTATGTCGCTTGCGGGCTCCGAGTGGCTTCAAGTAGCATAGCGTACAACACAGAGACGCCCCTTGGTAGGTGCATCTCAGCGGTGCAGAGGGCCTCGAAGCGGGTTAGCTCTCTGTGTACTAGCTGCTTTCCCGGTAGGGAGTGATAGTAGTGCCTTACTTGTTGGTATCTGTAGCGGATTAGCCCTGTTGGGTGTGCCTAGGGGGTTAGGGTTTCAGTTGACCTCCGGAGCACCAGTCACTCAGATATGGTTTGTCCGGGCTTCCCAACCTTGCCACATCAGACCTCCAGCAATCTCAGGGTCTCACTCACACTTTTATGAGCTACTGAGAGCTCTGCTGGTTAGCGCTTTGACGGTTCAATCCCCGTCTTGGGATATATGTAGATCTACAATTTTATGTGTCCAGTACGACTCCAGCATTTAAACTAAAGCAGAGAGGGTCTAATAGTGTAATATCTTAAAAGATATAAGGACAACTATCCTGGTTCCTGCACATGCTCGGGTGGGGATAATACCACCAAAGCAAGTTTATTGCTCTCCAAAGTGTAAGTAGGATACTTTGCTTTTGTGCACCTTATATATTTTAAGATATTGCACTATTAGACCCTCTCTGTTTTATTTTATATGCTGGAGTCGTACTGGAAACATAAAATTGTGGAAATACATATATCCCAAGACGGGGATTGTACCGTCAAAGCGCTAAACAGCAGAGCTTGTAGTAGTTAGTAAAAGTGTGAGTGAGACACCTATATGCATAACTGTCTGTAAAACCATTAAGACATAATACATTAATTTTTGTTGTATTTCTGTTTTATTTTGAGGTTTTCCTGGTACCGAAATACAAAATCACTTTACTCCAGAGAGAGTACGTATATACATAATTTATTACACATTATTGGGTTATTGTAAAGATTGAGTATACCCGTGTGATTTTTTTTCAGTTCTGTTTGGCGCGGTTTATCACCTGATATCTTGCTTACTGACTACCATAAGGCACCACCTGACTAATCTCTTAATTCTACAATTCTAAATTGAATCAAATCAAATTATGCAGGTCCAGTTATTGATTTTCTCCCAGTCATACAACCAATCCAGTAGAGAGGGGGTGCAGACTAGCTTTGTTCCCTAGCACCGTCCACCCTCCCACCCAGCTGACAGTTGCGGGACTACCTCCATGCCCTACTAACTAGCAGACCATTATACTGATGATTTTTTTGTTTACATCAGAGGACTGACTGCAAAACCAATTCCGTTCCCTTCAAATCCCCAACTCTCCCTTCTCATTGCAAAGACTCTGCAGCCAATTTAACAGATAATCCATTTAATGTTCAATACTCAAGCATTTAGCTGCATTGCTCCAGCTTGGTGGAATTATCTAATTAAAAAATCCAGAGAAGTTGATGCATAATAAATTGCCTTTACTACTATTATTATTGTGTGTATTGATATGGTTTTACAATGTTTGTGTAACTATGATTGGGTTTGCCTAAAACAACCACAAGCTGAGGTATTTGTTCCTTTGGAATAACTGAAATCATTGTATCTTATTGATACACCAACAAATCCAGTTATCTTTATAGCAACACAACAATGGACTGCCTGACATGTGAATTGGGAGGCTCATTAAAGCAGATTACAATGTTATGGAGCATTAGAAACGGTACCAATGATGTGGAAGAATAGACATATATGCTGGGAAAAGAACAAAGGAGCCGGTAACATGTTTTCAATAGAGTGGGTACAATAAGAACAGATAAGGTATTCAATATGAGAGAGCTCTTTAAGTCCTATATAATAGTATGTACCCATTTCATCACATTTGGCATTGAAGCATTAGTAACTGATCAATAACGTTTTCTGACATTTGACCGGAATCACAACACAGTTTTTAAAGTGATCACAATCTAAAATTTACAAACCATTTTACTGCCAGCAATTAAACCAACATCAGAAAATGATCAAGCTGAGAACAGGATAAATTTTTGATTCACATGTTACTTTCATATTGTCGAGCTCTAGAGGCCGATATCGATAGATTGAAGGTTAGGGACAGCCAACTGGACTGATGTTTCTGGAAGGTGACAGGTGTGTAACTAACCCATTAGGTTTCATAATGACATTGCAGTGTGTTTGTGATTTTAACATATCATTTTTGAACGTTGTTCCATCTGTGTGTGTTTGATACATGTATGATTTTACTATGTTATATTGTAGTTACATTGCCTATTTGCCTTGTAATTGGTCGAAATGAGTAACAAGGAATCTTTAGTTGACATTGCTTGTATACGTCATAAGTCAGGGTAAGTACTTGCGTTGTGCATTCTGCTCAATTGCAAAAATTTTCAGGCTACTGGCTACTGTTAGAATTATATATTTTATTGCAACTGAAGTACGAATCACTGAATTAATATTACATTTGGAGAAAAAGCCACACATCTAGTTCTTGGGCATGTAAAGAATTAATTATCTATGTTCCGTTCCCAAGGTTACTGTCCTAAAACAAGGGTGAGTCATGTGCGATTTCTTTTTGGTTGGCTCAATGCCCTATTCAATGAGGAGCTTTCAGTGTTTCTGTGTTAGGTCACAATTTAATGAAATGTATTCACTTCATAAGCTCATCTGGATTGTATATCGTGTGTGTGTACATGTTGAGAAATATCGGTAATTTTAAAATCAATAAATCAATGGAGTGGCTTCAGTTTGGAAAATTATAATTTCATGTACAATGAATACCTATATGAGACATGACACTTACCTCTTGCGAGTGATACTGGAGATCATTCCCAAGTCATCCCTCAAATCTAACTCTGACAGCCTCAGAAGGAGATCTCCATCAATCTGGTGCTCCTGCAATTATAACCACAATGAAGTTTGATTGATACTTTTTCATACTACTCTTCACATGCACTTGTCCTATAATGTTGTGCAGAGGGAATTATAGGGAAATAAGTGTGAGCCCTTGGGAGAGATGCAGTGGGGGAAAAAAAACATGAGTGGACTGGCTGACTATAAAATAGTTAATGTAAATCTGTCTATCAGGCTTGTATCCTTTCTGCCAAACTCACTACATCCACCACTTTTTCTGCCCAAGGCTACATACCAGGAGCTTCTGCCTGCTAGTAAGAAGGGAAGTAGAGGAGTGGACAAGTGAGTGATAAATGAGATAGAGCAGTTGAGAGCGGTGGGGCTCATATGACGGACAGATAAACTTGGTTGTGACATGAAAGTAAAGATTTAGCGCAGGCTATTTGTACTAAATGCATCCTGGGAGTTTTTCTCCGGCACCATTCCTGCCAGAAACAAGTTAGTTTTCACTCTGGAGGGAATCTAATTATCTAACAGAGGTCCGCTCTGTACCTTTGCATCCTAACAAAGGGGATGTAAGTCCCTCACCACACACTATTCAGCAGTCATTAAAAGTAATCATGCAGGCTGCAATGACCTGTGTAAGAGCTTGTAACTTACTGCACGTTAGTGTTATGCCAACATATAGACATATTTACAATATGGCAGCATTTCTAGGAAGCTTTATTCTCAGAGCCATTAGGTACCTTAGAATAGCCCATAAACAGGGTGTTCAAACATTTTTATGTGTCTCTTTTTGTCCAGCCTGCTAATTATGGTTTCAATTTTATATTTTGTGGATAAACTATATATTAAATATATTTAATACCTACCTAAAGTGGTGCAAGGAAGAACAAACGTTAAACCGGTGTCAGGGTCATGGGCATGGGCACTCAAGACTCACTGATGCATGTGGGAGCAAAGTCTGTCTGGTCTGATCCCACAGAAGAGCTGCTGTAGCTCAAATTGCTAAAACACCTAATGCTGACCATGATATAAAGGTGTAAGAACACAGAGTGCATCACAATGTGCTGCATATGGACTACGTAGCCGCAGACCGGTCAGATTGCCCATGAACAGCCATGTTTACCGCTGAAAGCGCCTTCAATGGAAAGGGAGCAATAGAAAAAGGTTGCCTTGTCTGACGAATAACATTTTCTTGTGCGTCATTTACCTAGGGATGGGAAAGCTGTAGGATGCACTTTGGGAAGAAGGCTGGCCAACTTAAGCAGTGTTATGCGAAATGTTCTGTTGGGAAATATTGGCTCCTGGCATTCATGCAGATGTTATTTTGACACGTACACCCTACCTAAAGATTGTTGCAGACCACACACACCCTTTCATGGCAATGGTGTTCCATGATGGCAGTGGCCTCTTTCAGCAGGATATGGCACCCTGCCACACTGCAAAAATTGTTATGGAATGGTTTGAGGAACATGACAAAGAGTTCAAGGTGTTACCTGTGCCTCCAAAATCTGCAGATCTCAATCTCATTGAGCATCTGTGGGGTGTGCTGGAACAGAAAATCTGATCCATTGAGGATCCACCTGACAACTTTCATTACATTCAGAAGTCTCGTGGCGTTTGTGCCTCAATGCATCAGAGCTGTTTTGGCAGCACAGTGGGAACCTATACAGGCAGGTGGTTTTAATGATGTGGCTGATCGGTGTATTTCTGCTTTCATGATAAAATGTCAGTCCCTTCTGAAAAATGCAAGATAAAGGATACCATATAATCTTTAAATCTTTTATCAACTCGGTATTTTTTTTAAATGCTGACCAAATAAATGTTGTTTTTTTAGTTATCCCTAAATGGAAGTAAACACACACTTTTTTAGTTTTATCTTATGTTTATGTGCTAATTACACATCCATTGTTTTAAATAAATGTTCCTCTCATTATCATTTTTCAAATGAAATAACTTAGTAGTAAAGTTTAAAAACAAACACTTGCAAACAACATACCAAAAAGCTCTGAGAGTATTTGATAAAACCGATTTGCTTCAGCCAGTGTTGTACTTCCAAGGGTTTCCAATTGGGAACAGAGCGCACAATTCGGGATGGGACCTCCTCTCCCATCATACGAAGAGCCTTTTTAGCCAAAGAAGATACTGTGCCATCTACAGAGTAAAACACTATCCTCTTCAGACTATGCGTTGCTCCAATTTCAGTAAGTACCTACACAAAAAAAAACAAAATTTCTATTTTGCAATAACTGTATTATAGGGAAGTGAGTTGAAATTGTTTTAAATGAAACAAGACTTCTATCATTCTATGTGGAGGATACAATTAAAAAAGGATAAACATTTTTATAATGTACAAAGGATAAAGTCTCCATAATACAGATGTGCATCAAATGTACATTAAAATGCAGATTAGATCCCCTCTTCAAAAAAAAAATAAAAAAAAAAATAATAATACTAAAATTTGAAGAATGGTATTTCTCCATGCTGTGTAACAATATGCAAATCAACATATGCATTTCTGCTTACCTTTCAGTAAAGACTTGCTACTTATACATAGCTTTATGGCCAAATGGGCTCTGGGTTGTCATCAAAATAATAAAAACTAAGTAAAAGAAATAGAAAAGTGCTGCGGATCGGGGGATGCCAGGTCTATCGCCATCCAAACTACTCTTTTCTCTCTCTCTAGTATCTCTTGTGCACCTCCCATGGCTCCCATGTTTATGGACAAAGTGTTTAGGACCTGTGCTATCAATTTGTCCATTAGGTATGTGTCTTTGCTTTTCATTATAACTACAAAATAAGAAATAAGAATTGCACCTACCGACCACACAAGGGTGGAAGGAATCCAGTTCTGCCCAAACAGGTATACATTCAGGAAAGCAAAAAAAAAAATACTAAAAATAAAGAACAAGCAGGATAAAGTAGAGGAATAGGGTAAATTATCCTTAAGCAGTGGGTTTCCCTCTTTTTCTATCCTTAAGGATAATTTACCCTATTCCTCTACTTTCTCCTGCTTGTTCTTTATTTTGAGTAGATTTGTGGTGAAGTCAATTCACTAGGGGTTAACCCCCACCTAGGAGAAACCTATCTGGTATCTTTGGGTTTTTTTATTTACAAAAAAATAAATAAAAAAATACTACTACTTCCTTTCAAAAATAGTGTCCCTTTTATTCAGGTGCCCAAAGTGTAAAAAAAGCAATATTTTGACCGCTGCAACGGTCTTCATCAAGCTGGACCTGTTTCGAACTGTTGCCACTCTTGGGCCACTGCTTCAGGTAAGGCTAGACTGATCATATTAAAGAGCCTCTGTTCCCTTTTAGTCATACCCTCAATGGGCTGGGTCAGGAAATCTCAGGGGTCAAGGTTAAAGTGTCAATGGAATATGATGGATACCAGAAAGCAAATTTCCAACCAGAAAGCTGTGGCGGAACTGCCCATTCAAAATAATTTAATGGGTGCAGTATACCATTGGAACAGCGTTTTAAAGATTGCTCCTGGAGGGTTATACATATATGGAGGATCAGGCACACGCCTCACATATATCTTACCAGTTTTTCCCCTACAGCACCTCCAGGTAAGTCTCCAATTACTCCACATATCATTCCTTGATGATGAGCTTATATTTTGGTATAATAGAATGATTATTCCTGTTTGGGTAGTTTCTTCCCAACAAAGCTTTTTAAAAAATGTTCAGGGGAATTGGGCACTATATTCACTTCTGGTTATGTTGCAAAGTCTCTTTTTTTGCATATATTGGAAGTAAGCCCCATGTGGCAGGTGAGCTGACTGCTGTAGTTCTGAGAAGGTGACTATTTCTTGATCTCTATACAATTGTAAAAATCTCTGCAGCCCTGTACTGTCTGTGCCTCAAAGTCCCCATGACTCATCCAAGGAAGAAACACTCTGTTGCTTAGAAATATGGTCATTGAAGAAGGAGAGGATCAGAGAGAGTACCGCTCATCAACTGCTTATTTGCAAGGTATTATGGATAGATGGGCATGATGTTCTCAAAAGAGCAGTCTGCAAGTTAGTAACCCACATATTACATTTCGGGATATCTGCACCCATGAGAAGGCATTCTAGGTCTTACCTAGCATCTACAGTTGGTGGGGAGTGCCGCTAGGTAGTAAAAGTATAGGTGAGGCAGGCCTAGACCACCTGCTATATTTGGACAGTATAGTTGGGTTTGGGCCAATCTGTGTCTTTTATGCTGCCAAATGAACGTATCTATGGCTGCCTGCGGGTAACACTTATCAGGAGCAGTTGGAACTAAAAGAGAATCCTGGGTAAAAAATTCATTCATTATTATTTAATTATTTATATAGCGCCAGCAAAATTCCGTAGTGCTGTATAATGGGTGCTCTAACAGACACGTAATTGTAACCAGACAAATGGATGCACTGGAACAGTTTAAATGATATGCTTTCCTGAAGAAGTGTGTTTTCAAAGATTTTTTGAAGGAGTGGAGACTGGGTGAAAGTCTAACAGAGAAGGGAAGGACGTTCCACAGAAACATTGCAGCCCTGGAGAAATCTTGGAGACAAGCATCAGATGTGGGAGTACGGACAGAGGATAGACGTAGGTCTTCAGCAGAGCGCGGGGCCTCGACAGGACTTACTTTTGTATTAGGGAGGCGTCGGAGGTGGGGGAGGACAGGAAAATGAGCCGTGCCGCTGCATTCATAATAGATTGCAGCAGTGCAATCTGGGAACACGTAAGACCACTGAGAAGGGGATTGCCGTAGTCAAGACGAGAAACAACAACAGCATGGACCAGCAGCTTAGCCACGTCTGGTGTTAAATAGGGGCGGATGCGAGCTATGTTTTTGAGATGGAAGCGGCAGGCAGGGCCGGATTAACATAGGGGCAGATGGAGCTGCAGCTCTAGGCCCAGGACCATGGAATAAGCCCATTTAAAGGAAAGAAAACAATACAAATGCAAATATTTTTCTCAGTATAAACGGAGATTACTCTCCAATACCAGCACCGGCCAGTAGGGGCCACTGTGTATGGAGAGAGGCAGGGATAGGAAGTTACAGCATCTCCATGCCTCTCTCTACTCACTGATCCGTGGGGGAGCAGCTACACAGCACAGAGAGTCCAGACAGCAGCTCCCAGCCTGCAGAGACAGACTACAGCTCAGGTATGTGAAGGATGGGGGGAAAGGCAGCAGGGAGACATGGGGACACTGAGACACTAGGGGACACATGGAGACACTACGGGACACGTGGGGACACTGAGACACTTGGGGACACTGGGAAAAATGGGGACACTGAGACACTAGGGGACACTGTGAGACATGGGGATGCTGAGACACATGAGGACGTTGTGAGACATAGTGAGACGCATTGGCACACAGAGACACTAGGGACACAGTGTCTCCATGTCTCCCAGTGTCCCCATGTCTCCCAGCCAGTGTCCCTAGTGTCTCAGCGTCCCATAGTCTCCCAGTGTCTGTGTCCCCATGTCTCTCAGTGTCCCCATGCCTCCCAGTGTCCCCATGTCTCCCAGCCAATGTCCCTAGTGTCTCAGTGTCCCCATGTCTGTGTCCCTAGTATCCCCATGTCTCTCAGTGTCCCTAGTGTCTTAGTTTCCCCAAATGTCTGTGTCCCTAGTCTCCCAGTGTCTGTGTTCCCATGTCTCTCAGTGTCCCTAGTGTCTGTGTTCCCATGTCTCTGTGTCCCTTGTGTCTTTGGCCCCTTTTCTCCCAGTGTCCCCAAATGTCTGTGTCCCCATGTCTCCCAGTGTCCCCATGTCTGTATCCACAAGTGCCCCCATGTCTCCCAGTGTCCCCAAATGTCTCAGTGTCCCCAAGTTCCTCAGTGCCCCCATGTCTCCCAGTGTCCAAAGTGTCTCAGTGTCCCTGGGTTTTGGGCATGTACGCCCCTTTTGGCAGTTCTGCTCACGTGATTTGTGTCAGTGGCCCACCCTTTTACCCCGCCCATTGACTTCCTGCTTCATTGGACAAGGCTGATAGGGGGTATGGATTTACTTGAAAGATGAAAGCATAAATTAGATAAAGAGATTAGCATAGAGCAGTGTTTCCCAACCCAGTCCTCAAGGCACACCTACCAGTCCAGGATTTAGGGATTACCCAGTTGTGTCTAAGGTGTTTTTACAAAGAAGAAAAAAAACACCTTAGACACAACTGGGTAATCCCTAAATCCTGGACTGGTAGGTGTACCTTGAGGACTGGGTTGGGAAACACTGGCATAGAGTATGTGTGTTCTTATTGCTGCATCCTTTGAGTTTCCCTCCAACACCAACTCCATCAGATACATGACGCTTGAGAGGTATGACTGTTTTGGTATTTCTGGTCGATAAGATTCTGTAATTAGGCCCCATCATAATTGTCAGCACCAGGCCCACTGGGCTCTTAATCTGGCCCTGGCGGCAGGATTTGGCGATCGACTGGACATGAGCGATGAAGGAGAGGTCGGAGTCAAAGAGAACACCTAGGCAGCAAGCCAGGGAGGTAGAGGTGATGGTGGCGCCGTTGACGTGGAGGGAGACAGACACGGGAGTAGCAACACTTGAGGGAGGAAAGACCAGAAGTTCTGTTTTGGATAGGTTGAGCTTAAGGAAGTGAGCAGCCATCCAATTGGAAATCACGGAGAAGCAGTCAGAGACACGAGTCAAGATGGGCTTAGAGAGATTAGGATAGGACAGGTAGATTTGCGTGCCATCTGCATATAAATGCTAATGGAAGCCATAGTTGCTGATGAGTTTACCAAGGGAGGCAGTATATATGGAGAACAGTAGGAGACCAATGACTGAAACTTGAGAGACACCAACAGAGAGGGGTTGGGGAGAAGAGGTAGAGCCAGAGAAAGAAACACTGAAAAAGAGCTGGGAGAGGTAGAAGGAGCACCAGGAGAGAATAGACCGAGATTATGGAGAATGAGATAAAGCTGTTGTAGAAACCTCTTCTGTTGTAATAGGTGCGAATGAGCATAGAACAGTTGAGTGAGTGGGGTTGGGTGATGTATTGGAAGAGTTATTGGAAGGAGAGGGAGAGAGATTAGAGATCTCTTCCCTGATTACAGAAATCTTCTCAGTGAAGTGAGTTGCAAGGTTTGAGGCAGACAGGGTGGTAGGAGGGGGAGCAACAGGACGAAGGAGAACATTAAAAGTGTGAAAAGGGGCATTTGGGTTGGCGGAACAGTGTGCTTATGAGAGTGTTGAAGTAATTTACTTTTGCAGAGGAAAGACCAGAGTATAGGAGCGCAGCATAAATTTATAGTGGATAAAGTCAGGTGCAGAGTGAGACTTTCTCCAACAGCGTTCAGCAGTTCTAGAACATTTTTGGAGATATCGGGTCAGCTTGGTGTGCCAGGGTTGTAATTGGGAACGCTTGCTGTGTTTACATGTAGGAGGTGCCATGTCTAGTTGAGAGGAGAGAGTAGAGTTGTAGAGTGAAGTTGCAGAGTTAGGGCAAGTAAAATTTGAGATGGGTACAAGGAGAGTTTGGAGTTTGGTGGAGAAATGCTGGAGATCAAGATTGGGGAGGTTTCTCTGAGATTGGAGAGTTGATAGTGGTGAGATTTGGGTACGGGATATGCAGATGTAAAAGTTCAGCAGATGGTGGTCAGATAAAGGAAATGGAACAATGGAGAGATTAGAGGTGGCACAGAGATTGGTAACGATGAGGTCAAGAGTGTTTCCTGCTGTATGAGTTGCTGAAGTAGACCACTGTGTGAGGCCGAAGGAGGAGGTTACAGAGAGCAGAAGGGAGGCATCAGGGCAGTTGAGGTTGTTGATTGGGATGTTAAAGTCCCCAAGTATGAGTGAAGGAGTGCTGTGGGAGAGAAAGTGGGGTAGCCAGGAATAAAAGTGTTCAATGCATAGGATGACCGGAGGGGCAATAGATGATGGAAATTCTTAAAGGAGTGGGCTTAAATATGCGGACAGTGTGAACTTCAAAGGAAGTAAAGGAAAGGGCAGGGGCAGGGGGGATAGGTTGAAAGGTACATTGAGGGGAGAGAAGGATGCCTACACCGCCGCCTTTACAGTTGAGTCTGGGAATGTGGAAGAATTATAGTCCACCGAAACATAAAGAGTCCAGAGTAGTGGTATCAGAGGGGGAAAGCCAGGTCTCAGTGAGTGCTAGTAGTGTAAGGGAATTAGAGATGAAGAGATGGAACAGGCGTTCCAGAGTGCACAGTGAATGTTGGTAGAGATGGATACACTGCAGGGTATTTGGATGAGGTTTGTGTCGTTTCTAGTTGTTTTAGTGTGAGCATCCGTGATGAAGGGCCCTGGGTTAGGGGAGACGTCACCAGTTGCTAGAAGTAGGAGGAGAGGTAGTGACAGGAGGTGTGAATGGGTTTTATGGGCGGGGTCTGGGAAGTGGGTGTAAGGAGATATTTTGATGCTGAGGGAGATGAGAGAAAAGGAGAAGAGGAGAAGATAGAGCATTGCTCAGATGAGTAAGTACTTTCAGAAAGCAGAACGGGCAGAGGTAAAGAGAATGAGGACTGAGTGTTAGGGGTTAAGGGAGTGTATGAGTGTTCTGATTGCAGGTAGTGTTTGCAGCTGTCAATTGTACGTGAGATTTTATCTATAAATGGAATAAAGAGCTTGGGGTTGGGTTAATCAATCATCAATTCACCGATCCATGATATTGGTTTGTCCATAATTAATTTGCGTATGCTTGGGATATAGTTTTGAGAAAATATTTGGGTTGGGTCAGCTGTGATATGGATGCCCAGGTACATAAAGGTGTTAGGTTCTATTTTGAGTTGGTAGGTAAACCCCACCAATGCAGTGTCCCCAGTGAGAAATTCAGTGCCATGGCTACCGATTTTGCTAGGTTTACTTTCTATCCAGATAAGTCTCCAAAGGATTTAAGTGTAGTGTTTAGATACTTTTGCCATACGTATTCTATTAATAAAGAACTCATCTATCCTGAAGTATGTGGAGTGTGGGGTGGAACAGTATTTGTAATCTAGAGTGCTAGAGTGTTGGGCCCTCCAGACATCTATGAGATGCATGTGCTGAATGAACTTGTGAACTAACTTATCCTGTCCCCCCAACCCCTGGGATCGGGGGATTCCCAGTAGTGAGCTCCTGTCAACCGCTGGACACGGTACAACATTGAAGGTGCTCACCACCAGGATCACCCCTTGAGAGAGGGAGCAGACATTGGTCTCTAGGGAGTCCCAGAAGGATCGCTCTGGGCTATTGGTTGAGAATGTGTGATCTGAAGAGGGCAGCTTTTGTTGACAAGTATGGCAACCCCATTGAGGCTCTGGGTTCATGAACTCTAGTACAGACTTGGTTTGAGACCTTAGTGACAGAGGCCTAGGAAAGTGGGTTTCATGTATAAAGGCCACATCTGCTTTTTTTTTCTTCTTTAATTCCCTAAGGAGGAGGCGGCACTTATTGGACGAATTAAGCCCCTTCACTTTTAGGGATCTATAATCTATGTAATATCTAGCTACTTAAGGCTTTACATCTCTCTATTGAATATCCGAGCAGAGGCTTTAGAATTGTATGGGACTTAGTGCATGCTTAAAGTTTCTGCCACTCCTTTTTTTTCACAAGTTAAAACACAACAACCTACAGATAAATGTCTCAATTTAATAATTTCAGCTAAACTTTTCAAACAATCACAATCTGCTAGTAAAACATTTCAAATAATTTATCTACAGAAGTCACCATTAAAGTCTAAGGGAATTTTTTTTTGTAGAAAAATTATTTAAAAAAAAAAAATTCTAACAGATTGTCATTTGTGCCATTTTTACATCGCCATTCTGGCTTTTATGCTCGGTTTAGTATTTTGGCACGCTTTTCAAAAGATTTCATAATTTTGGATATACTTTTAAAATACTTTTTTCAAAATGTTAAATATCAAAATATATATCATATATATAATAAATATACTAAATCATTTTAAATTGTACTCAAAATAATAAAATAATTTGAAAAGCTTATCCAAAGATATGAAATCTAGGACATAGTAGCACCAGTGAGATTTTTATTTTTAAAAGTTTAAAGGGACACTATAGTCACCGGAACAACTTTAGCTTAATGAAGCAGTTTTGGTGTATAGAACATGCCCCTGCAGCCTCACTGCTCAATCCTCTGCCATTTAGGAGTTAAATCCCTTTGTGACTTGCACAGCCTTCCATAAACACTTCCTGTAAAGAGAGCCCAGTTTAGGCTTTCTTTATTGCAAGTTCTGTTTAATTAAGATTTTCTTATCCCCTGCTATGTTAATAGCTTGCTAAACCCTGCAAGAACCTCCTGTGTGTGATTAAAGTTCAATTTAGAGATTGAGATACAATTATTTAAGGTAGATTACATCTGTTTGAAAGTGAAACCAGTTTTTTTTTCATGCAGGCTCTGTCAATCATAGCCAGGGGAGGTGTGGCTAGGGCTGCATAAACAGAAACAAAGTGATTTAACTCCTAAATGACAGTGAATTGAGCAGTGAAATTGCAGGGGAATGATCTATACACTAAAACTGCTTTATTTAGCTAAAGTAATTTAGGTGACTATAGTGTTCCTTTAATCTTTACTGTGATTTTCATTATATAGAACATAACAGAAAAGTAAGATAAGTGAGTTCTCACAGCAGGTAAACGGAGACTTCATTACACAAACAGCGAAGCGTTAGGTAAGTTCACTGTGTCAATGAACGTTAGCCACCAGTTATGAAAAAAAGCATGTGCACAGGGGATTGGGCCATTAAAAGAATGACTTACATTCCAAACTCCCTGTATGGCAATACATTTGTTGATAATGATGTATTTGTGAATACCTTTGTATTCTTCTGCTGGGATTTGATAGCAGCCTCTACGCATAAATAGAAAACAGCAATGCACTGGGCCTCTAAGCGGGAGCTGTCCAATAATGGCACTAGGCGCTGTAGATCACCAGTGTTTCTGCCCTGTGTGTTGTCACCGTTGTCTAAAAGAGATCGAGCAAATTCCTGAGGGTCCAGAGAAGAGATGAAAGGTTCAACTAATGCCAGAGTTCCTGATCTCTCCACTTCTTTCTCGATTTCTTTGTTGGTGGCTAACACGGTGATGGCAAGGCATGCGTGAAACCGTATCTGATCATCCTCCTTGGAGAAGACCAGGGGGAAAAGCCACTCAGCTGCTCTCTTCTCAATCATCAGCCGCTGGTTGGAGGGGCCACTGTACATGGCACAGTTCGCAAGGGCCACAGCACAGTGACGGAGAACCACAGGGTCTGTCCAACGGCACCAAAAGAGAATGGAGTCCAGGCCTCCTTCACAGATGAGTTGCTTACAGGTCTCCTCTGTGTGTTTAAACATATGTTCCAGGATACCAGAAAGGCTGCGTGCAAGTTTTGGATCATCTCTGTCTTTAGTAATATTCAAAATGACTCCCAGACCAATACGTGCGATACGATCCCTGCAAATTAATTAAATTAAAGTAATTCAAGATGAGAGGAGGAAATGTAGCATGTAGTTTTATTACATAGAATGGTTAATTCAGAATAAGTATTTTCTTATAACAGCAAATGAGTTACATCTGTAACCTGATTAGCCCTTTAGTGGAACAATATACCATGACTTACTTACGACTTGCAGTTCCGTACTTGATTGACACTTGTTGGTGTTCAATTGAATACCTACTGGATGTTCAGATTTTCACAAAATATAGATCATTTTGCTGTGTTTGCTCCCTCTATATCATTGCTGTGTCTATAACTGTCATGTTGCTATGCATTGATTTTACACATTTTTTCTGGAGGTATTGACTATATTTAGCCATTTTCCTTGTGCTATGTAAACACTAGAGGGTACACATAACGACAGTGTTCCCAGCCAGAATATAACAGTCCCACATTATCCATTGTTTAGCTGTCTAATTGGTCATAGTCCATGGTGTTCCAAGAGAAATGCAGTTTACATAAATGAACTTCACATATTTCACATCTACTATAAAACAGACACATACAAACCTCTAGAAGTCATCTGTCTTTAAAGGGTCATCTGAATAACATTATACTGAGTCTAACATTTTCTTTACTAGAACACATAATGAAGAATTTCTCTCCATTTCTTGTATGCCTGTTGCAGCTAGCACAATAAACCAAAATCTCAGTTACTGTGTCCAGGGGATCCCATATCAGCAAGTCCTTGTTAGGTGGTAATTGCATTCTGAACCCTCCTGTGTTCACTAGGGTAGCTTCATGTACTTACACCTAACAGCTCTGCTCTGTATTAGTGGCTGTAGACAGAGAATTACATCATTCATCATAATTCTCAATGAGAGTCGATCACAGGAGAAGGGAAAAGGGATCACTGCGATCTCAGGATACCAGACCACCTGTTTTTCATGATTAATAATAATGTACTCCACAACTTTCCCTGACCTTTCACCAATTCATACATTATGTGGATTACTCAGTCTTAACCTAGAACAGTGATGGCGAACCTTTTTGAGCCCGAGTGCCCAAACCGCAATACATGCCAACTTTTTTCCCCTCAAAGTGCCAACAAAGCAATTAAACCTGAATACTGAGGTTTAAGTTTAGAAAAAACAACTCGTACAGTTGTCCGAACTAATTATCCTCTTCTTTCCCCCCAGCATCTTCCCTTCTCTACCCATAGCATATCCCTCTCTCCCCCTAGCATCTCCTCTTCCTCCTCCTCCTCCCCGCAGCACATCCTTCTCCTCTTCCTCTCCCCCAGATTCTCCTCTTCCTCTCCCCTAGATTCTCCTCTTCCTCTCCCTCAGATTCTCCTCTTCCTCTCCCTATCTCCCCCCAGCATATCCCCCTCCTTTCCCCCAGATTCTTCTCTTCCTCTCCCTTTCTCCCCCAGCATCTGCTCCTTCCCTTCTCCCCCAGCATCTCCTCCTCCTCTCCCCTATAGCATCTTCTCCTCCTCTACCCCCAGCATCTCCTCCCTTCTCTCTCTCCCCCAGCATCTCCTCCTCTCCCCAGCATATCCTCCTCTTCCTCTCCCCCAACATCTCCTCCTCTTCCTCTACCCCAGCATCTCCTCTTCTCTCCTCTCGCAGCATCTCCTCTTCTCTCCCCCCAGCATCTCCTCTTCTCTCCCCAGCATCTCCTCTTTCTCTCCTGATTTTCCTCTCTCTCCCCAGCATCTCCTCCCTCTCTCCTCTCCCAGCATCTCCTCCTCCAGCATCTCCTCCTCTCCCCCAGCTTCTCCTCTTCTCTCCCCCCAGGGTCTCCTCTTCTCTCCCCCCAGGGTCTCCTCTTCTCTTCCCTAGGCATCTTCCCCTCACTACCGCCGCATATCCTCCCTCCCCCAGTATATCCCCTCTCCCTACCAGCACATAAATAATGTTGTTTTTTTTTGGTGCGGGTGGGAGTTTGAAGTCCTCCCAGGCTCCCTACCTCCTTCCCGCTGCTGTAAGAGGGAGTGGGTGCGATGAAGCACTGACTTACATGCTGTTCCAGCACTGCTTCCTCTGCTGATGCTGCTGGCAAAACAGGAAATTACGTCAATCAGACGGCGGCGCCTGACTGACATCATTTCATTTCTCCCGGCGGCATCAATGGAGGGAGCAGTGCTGTAACAGCACATAAGTCAGTGCTCCCTTGCAGCCCTCCATCCCACCCACCCACCAGTGCCACCTTAACAACATTATGGGTCCCCGGGCAAAGCAGTGCACTAGGGCCCTGCATACACACAACTCACAGGAATAATTTAAATCATAGATAAAATTAGGCTTATATTTATTAGTATCTCCAACAAATGCAATACATACATAAAATACATACACACGGACGGCTGAATACATACACACCGACACACACACAGTCCACTGAATACATGCACACAGTTCGCTGCATACACACACTCACAAACGTCCACACATAAAGACTGCTGAATACACACACTGCTGAATACACATACAGACAGACTGCTGAATACACACACACACACAGACAGAATGCTGAGTACAGACAGACTGCGGAGTACACACAAACTGCTGAATACATACACACAAACACACACACATGCTGCATTGAGGGGTGCAGTATATGTGTTTGTGTGTAAGGGTGCGGAGTGTGTGTGGAGTGCTGTGTATGAGAGGTGCTGTGTGTGTGTGAGGGGTGCTGTGTGCAAGAGGGGTGCTGTGTGTGTGTGAGAGGGGGTGCTGTGCTGTGTGTGCTGTGTGTGTGTGGGGGTGCTGTGTGTGTGAGGGGGTGTTGTGTGTGTGTGGGGGGTGCTGTGTGTGAGGGGGTGCTGTGTGTGGGGTGTGCTGTGTGTGTGTGGGGGGTGCTGGAATTGCTCTGTGTGAGAGGGGTGCTGTGTGGGGTGCTGTGTGTGGGTGTGAGGGAGTGTTGTGTGTGTGGGGGGTCTGGTGCTCTGTGTGAGAGGGGTGCTCTGTGTGGAGGGTGCTGTCAATGTGTGTGTGGGGGGTGCTGAGAGTGCTGTGTGAGAGGGTGCTGTGTGTGGGGGGGTGCTGTGTGTGTTGGGGTGCTGTGTGTGTGTGGGGGTGCTGAGTGTGTGAGTAAGGGGGTGTTGTGTGTGTGGGGGGTGCTGGGTGCTCTGTGTGAGAGGGATGCTGTGTGTGAAAGGGGTGCTGTGTGTGTGTGGGGAGGGGTGCTGTCTGCTCTGTATGAGAGCGGTGCTGTGTGTGAAAGGGGTGCTGTGTGGAGGGGGCTGCTGTGTGTGTTAGTGGGGGAGGGCTGCAAATATATTTTTACATCACCCCTCCCTTCTGCTTACCTTATGTGAAGGAGGGGGACACACATAAATCCCTGGTGGTCCGGTGGTGGTAAGAGGGACAGGTCCTGCAGCTCTCCTGTCCTCCCGATGCTGTGTGGAGCGTTGCCATGGTAACGCGCGGCAACGCTCCACACTGATTGCTCGCGGGAGGACGGGAGAGCTGCTTCACAGATCACTCCCCCTGTCATCCCGACACGGAAGCAGAGTAGGCGCCTGCCGTTTTGGGCAGGCAGGTGCCTACTCTGCATTGATGGCGAGCTATGGCCGCGTGCCTACAGAGAGGGTCCGGCGTGCCACCTGTGGCACGCGTGCCAATGGTTCGCCATCACTGTCCTAGAAGGTTACAGTTTAGACTGTAATGTTGTTTGCATTGTTTATTTTGCATAGATTAACCCCTTAAAGACTGAGCCAAATGCACACGTTGTGATCAAAACAAAACGTAAACAAAACCTTGAATTTGACTATATGTCTGTTCAGGCGTAATTCACCTCTTTAATATTATGTGCACCCACACTTATATTTCATTTTATTCAGGGGAAAGAGGGCTTTCATTTAACATCAAATATTTAGGTATGAAACATAATTTAATATGAATAAAATATAAAAACAAAATGGGAGAAAATAAGAATTTTAAAACATTTTTTAGTTATAAGTGACATTTTAACTGTGAATGTCATAATACTGTTTGCTTTAACTGCAATAAAATACACATATTTGTATTCAGTGATGTCTCACGTGTAAAACAATACCCCTTATGTACAGGTTTTATGGTGTTTTGGGAAGTTACAGGGTCAAATATAGCATGTTACATTTTTCATTTTTTTCACATTGAAATTCGCCAGATTGGTTACGTTGCCTTTGAGACCGTATAGTAGCTCAGGAATGAGAATTACCCCCATGATGGCATACCATTTGCAATAGTAGACAACCCAAAATATTGCAAATGGGGTGTATCCAGTCTTTTTAGTAGCCACTTGGTTACAAACACTGGCAAAAGTTAGTGTTAATATTTGCAGGTGTGTGAAAAATGCAAAAAACTAATTTGAACACCAATTTTGGCCAGTGTTTGTGACTAAGTGGCACTCCCCCTGCTGTCACTGACATGGACATGGCTATGCCGTCCATGTGATCATGAGGTCCTCACAAGGACCTCGTGATCACATGGCCCAAGGGGGCCGAAACAGAAGGAGTGGGACTCCCTGGGATGCCAGGTGAGTCCCCACACCGCGATCGCCGGCGTGGGATCGCTGGCGACCGGTTAAGTACATAGGACGGCTTGGGCGTCCTTAAGGGGTTAATGTTCCAGTGCAGATTTTTTTTAATTGTTTTCTCTTTTCACTCTATGGGCTGAATTCTATCACAAGAGATAAACTTGAGCTCTTTGCAGTAAACAGTGTATTTTCAGAGAAAAGGCAGTGTTTACATTACAGCCTAGGCATACCTAGACTAGCCACTCCTCACATGACTGTTAAAGATGCTTGCTGGGGCAGTGCTGCACACTGCCCCAGCACTGCCATTCAGTGTCTCCACACTCTGCATGCAGACACTGAACTTTCCTCATAGAGATGCATTAATTCAATGCATCTCTATGAAGAGATGCTGATTGGCCAGAGCTGTGTTTGGCTTGTGCTGGCTCTGCCGCTGATCTGCCTTCTTGACAAGCTCAGCCAATCCAATGCTTTCCTATGGGAAAGCATTGTGATTGGCTCAGATAAACACTTCTGATGATTTCAGCCAAGCAGGCAGATCGGGGCAAAGCCAGCAGCAACAGACTAGATTAAAACCAAGATTTTGCTATATTTAGGGGGGCTAGTGGGGCTAGATAGTGTTTAAAACACTATAGGTTCAAGAATGCATGTTTGTGTTCCTGACCCTAAAGTGTTCCTTTACGTCTGGTAACTAAATAGCAGTTCTCTCACTGACATCAATGGGAGCATACATTGCTTTTCAACAACCACAGTTATTCTTGTTTCTTATAATGAAGTCTGGCTACATATATTACCATATTTAACCTGATGGTGGAGATGGAGAGAAGGTCTTAAAGCCAGTGAGCTCTCTCATACCAAGTGTCCACAACCTGCCATTCGGGACTTGTAATGTTCTTCTGTTGGCTAAAAAAATTAATTCTTATATATTGTTCATGAAAAACTGTAAAAAAATCGACAGAACATAAAAAAGGACTTTCAATTTAAAGACAGTATATGATTCAAAATATGAAATTCCTAGCATAAAACATGATAAAACAATAACCATTAATAATTACTTTCATTTTACTCCATAGTTCAAAACAAATAAGTTTAAAAACAAAAAACAAAAGCAGAACAAAAACAAAAAAGATATGTGCTGTTGTGAGTTCATCCAGCTTCAATTTGCCAATCTATTTTAACAAGCACCAAGGAGAATGTCTCTGAGCCTGAATATTAAACTTACTGCATTTTAAGTTTTTCCCGTGGGTCCTTTTAAATCTTTTTCATAATAACTATGTTTTTCTGTTTTTTTTAGTACATATATTCTGGGCAAAATATGGGACTGCATCTGACTTGACACATAGAAAAATACCTTGTTTCCTTTTTACAGGTGTGCCATACTAAGATGACTAGTATCCACATTTTAAAGAAAAAAACATTACGGTAGCTACCGGCTAGGGAAAATAAGAATAAGTCAAATCAAGTTATAGTGTCTAGCTTGCCCATTCTTCATCTAAACTTTTGTTTAACAGATCAGTAGAAGACGCTCTTGGTTTTCTATCCGATGCAAATTTCCACACAATTAAGCTGGAATGTAGGCACTCTAGGCTTTAGCGTGTATCAAAGTCCCCTCGACTCAACTAGGGTAGGAGAGATAACAGAAGTTCTCTGTAGCTCTCCAATGGAAGTAACTGAAGAAGGGAGCGATGCTCGGCATGCCCCAGGTAAGAAGTGTAACCATGGCCATTTTTAAAGGACTTTTATTTGAGGACTTTTATCATCTTTGTTTTTATGTTTATTTTAAACTAATAAATTCACCATTTTCATTCAATACCTCATCCAAGTTCTTTTTGGAGCCTCCAAGGAATCCTCACAGGGGTAGTGCCATCCCCATTCAAATTGGCACAAAATCCACATACCTAGAGCCGGGATTCGTAGGCTCAGGACCAGGTGAGCACCCCATTTATTGAACACATATCTGTGTCATTTATCACCATAAGTCTACACATTGGTTTGCTTTCTTCTCTTTTTTTCGTGTTCCCGAGAAATTCTTCAAGCCGAAGTAGGAGGGTGGTGCTACCATAACAGCACACAAGCCTTTATACGGAGCCAGTGTTTTCTATATACAGGCTCCTTGAAATGTGAGTGTAATATTCAACACGATATTATTATAATCACTGTGAAACCATTTTTTAGTACCGTCTACACTATATTGTATTTTCTGTATTTTATTTTGACATGTACCCCATATTTTACCATTGAATGAGACTACGTTTTGGTAAGATTTATCTGTGTTTGAGCGCTCCACTTATAGGTGTAGGTCCTTGTCACTTACACCGCACCAATATCTACTAAATTTATTCAGTGGAATAGAGGATATTTCCACACTAGTGTATTGAGCTGCCTGTAAATCACTTTTTGACTCTTTTGAGCACTTTTGTTATACACACTCCTCTGTAAAAAGAGGCAACCTTTGATTGGTATTCAAGAAGTGTAACCATTCTAAAATGGTGTGATTACTTACAATGCACCAGACTACTCCTTGCACCATAACCACAACAGCACACTGCAGTGTTTATGGTGATTAAAGTGTTCCTTTAATTCTTTGAATGATAAATGAATTGTACTACATTTACACCCATCCCTAATAACACTTGGCACACGGCGTCCCAAGCTGTTCCTAAGTGCTGAACTACCTTTCAGATTTCTAAAATTAACTGTTCTAGCAAAATATATTCTTAAAATACAAATCTTTAATTTTCTTTATGTATTTTCATAATGGAAATTATCTATTTAGCAGCAAACGATTACGAACAAGCTGTACTTTTAAATTTTGCATCCCAAGACACAAGACTAAATCAATACAGGATGTTGTGCCACAATTAGCAGTGAGTGCAGGCCCCAGGTTACATGTGTACACAATTTTAGTCTGTTATTAGTTCACAATGCAGTGTTAGATCACACAAAGGCATGGTAAGAATGAATCAGTTCTTGAACTCCTTAAGGACAAAACTCCTGGAATAAAAGGGAATCATGACATGTCACACATGTCATGTGTCCTTAAGGGGTTAAAGTGTTTTCTTTTTGGTGTTTTATATTCTAATTTTAATGAGCCCCTATTGATAACATTGCCAAATACAAAGTATATATAACATCAGCTTGCCTCTGTATAGTGAGCCAAGCATTAAATATAATGTATGTTCACTTCAAACTATCCCACCCTGGGCATTTCTGAGGAATTGTACCAGAAGTAATGGCCTCATCCCGTCATCAGGGAATCCTTCAATATGAATTTGTATCAATTTCTTAAACTACCAATTCCTGGTCTGATTGCAGGGTATTCAGCCAGCCCGTTCCTTTTACCTGTGTTGGATACATGCTAAGTGATTAAATTCTGATTCAATGTTAATGAACTGGATTTTACTTTACTACAGTTTTCTACTAACACATTATATTTGAATATTGTTTTACTTTAACCATTGCTTAAACTCATTACTAAGGAGACCAGCATTACTTCTTTAAAACATGCAAGGTTCCTCATAATGACCAATGATGATATCCCTTCTGCTCCTCTGGTGACACTTTATATAGCAAACAAGCTTCTGTTGCTTATCATCGACATGGGTGATGATAGTCACTATAAATTGTATTTAATTTACCACAATCCCCCCCTTCCCCGCAAAAAAATTGCCACACAACTCTCTTTTGCACTCCAGTCCCTTCTCCCCAACCACTTTGTGTGTCTTTTTATCCCCAACAACTTCTGTGTGTCTTGCCTCTTTGTTTGTCACTTCCCCCAACACCTTCTGTGTCTCTTGCTCCCCCCAGCCCCTTTGTGTGTCTCTTCCCCCAACACCTTCTGTGTCTCTTGCTCCCCCTCAGCCCCTTTGTGTGTCTCTTCCCCAACACCTTTTGTGTCTCTTGCTCCCCCCCAGCCCCTTTGTTTGTCACTTCCCCCAACACCTTCTGTGTCTCTTGCTCCCCCCAGCCCCTTTGTGTGTCTCTACTCCCAACACATTCTGTGTCTCTTGCTCCCTCCATCCCCTTTCTATTCCAAATGTGCATATCAGTAATAATCTGGACCTTAGTGGTTATTGATAACTAGTCTGAGAACCACATAAACTTACCAACACTGCTAACTGGCTCTACTGTCCCGTTTAAAATTTGAAACCACTGTCAACAATAACAACTAACAAGCACAATATCAATTACAACATCTGATGGACCACTTGTATTTTGTATTTTATTATAAAAACGTATAAAAATATCTAGCTATCTTTTCAGTTCATCTGTTTTGTTCTAAAATGTAAAATCCACTTTGAATTCCCAACAGATCACAGTTTAGTGAATAACCTTGTACGTGTAATTCTATATTGTGTTTATTGTGTCAGGTACTATATGATGCTGGAGAGGGGGAAGGGGAGTTTTCCCATGTGACTGAGGCTGAGTTAGCATTTTTTTTACTCTTTCCCATCCTCCTAATATATCAATCAATGGTTTCTCAACCATGTTAGTACTGGATATTATTTAGATATTAATTAGAATGTATTCTTATACTATGCACACTTATAAAACAGAAAAATAACTAAATGGCTGTTGTTCATTTACATATCAGATAAACCTGTTATTAGTTAACGCAACATAAATCATGACCCGAGAAAATATAGAAAAACACATACACAATAAATTCTCCATTATAAACTCTGTTTTAAAATATGTTAATTAAAAATTTATTTATTTCAAGTTTCAAAAACATAGGATTGGCAGATACAAGCTTACATATACAGTCACGTGGCATGCACCATGGTACAAGGGGTTACCTGTTATCTGTCACCAGGATCTGTTCCAGGAGTTGGCAAGCCTTGTACTTCACCTCTATGTCAGCTGTTTGAAGCAAGTTGAGAAGTAGGTCCAATGCACCTTCTAGCCTTATGGTTTCACACAACCCCTGGGCAACGTCTCGGCCCACCGTTGGCATAGTCCATGCCTCTTCAACCATCTGAAGTATTTCTGTGATGGTCTTGCACATGCTTTGTGCACACAGTGCTTGCTTCAGGTTAGAAATGGCAACATGCATGTCAGGAAGGACTTTATCCAAAGCCACCTGCACATCCCCCGGAGCTCCTGGTGACACATCTTGACCTCTGCTTGTACCTCCTGAGGTCTGCCACCAGCACATATTGTTGACATACCCTGGTACTAGAAGACGGTCATTGCTAAACATGGTAATCACCCTGCAAAGCTTGTAGGCTGAGAGAAGAAGAGTAAAGACCATGGGTCTCCTATAGCATATCTGGGTAGGCAGAATAAGCCTTAAACGATGGGACCTACAGGGAGATGGAAATTCTCCAAAATAGAAACTAATTACAAAGCAACGTAAAAACAGTTATGGCTGATTATCAGGAATAATAAATACCCAGTACCTACGTACAAAGCATTAACAACTAACTACATGCCAAAGTAATTATACACAATTGTGACAAAAGGCTATTCTGTATAAATGCATTTATATGGATTACTCTCTAAATGAAAAGCCCAGAGGGAGATAAAAGGCAAAGTGACCCCCGACTCAGATTGTCATAACAAAGACATCCAATCTTCCAGACACAATGAGAATGCAATCTACAGACAGAGACTTGACCTACAGCGATTACTGCAGATAGATGGAGTGCAAAATAAGTTACTCAGCCTGCGAACATAAATCTACTGAATTCACTAACAACAACAATCACAAATCCTGCATCATCAAAATATAAACACTCACAGAATAACACTAATAATATAGGTATCTGTGTAGGTCAACCTCTCCCCACAAACCTCAGCTCAAATTGCTTTCTCATAGGGCAGCAGTGACTTTGCTGATTAGACAAAAATCTCTTTTGTCTGCAAATGATGTACACCGAGGAGAAAATAAATAATATCCCAGAGCTAGACAGTGCTGAGCCACATGACACCTCCTTCCTCTTTTATTGTATGTATGGGGCCCCAGTCAGCATCCTCCAGCTTTCTTTGCTATGTTTATCTATGACTTCCTGGTTGATGCCTGTTTCTGTTCCAAGACTTTACCTATAGAACTCTGCTGCTGTCTGTGTTCCAAGCATCTCTTTTAGAACAACAGTGAGCCGCAGGGTGACGTCACCAGAACCTTACCCCACCCCTTGGCAACAACCGGTCCTCGTCTCCATGGCGACATCCTCCCTGAATCCTTCTTGCAACTTCAGCTACCGCAGAAACCCGAAGCTGCGTGACGTCACCGGGCCGGCAGCCAATCAGCGCGGCCCTATGCTCAAAGTATGAAGATGGTTGTGGGGCAGAAGGTTGTCATTGTTAGTATTTGTCATGCTGTATTTTAGGGCAGCCTGATGGTTTCACATCCAAAACAAATGAAAATATAGTGAAATATTCGTTTTAATTTCTTCACAGGATCATTATTCTCAGTTCTGGCAAATATAAATTATACATTTAGTACTAAATGCTGGCTATCCCTTTGTTGTTGTTGTGTAGTATGTTAATCACAAAATAAATTAGAGAATAATGTCTAAATGGGATGAGTCAGTTTTGCTCATTTCTTTTAAGAGAGTTAAGGAAGTAAACACAACTTTACATTTTTTTAGAGTCTGCTAATGTCCCAATACAGGTACATGTCCTTTTTCAGCCACAACAAGAGAAACGCTTCCTGTAAGTTTGTATGAAGATATATAAGACTAGATTCTATTATAAGAGGTAGGCATGTATGATAATCAAATTGCAATGTTCCACTATGTTAATAGCTGGTATTCAGTTAACATTACTCCTTTTATAAGTGGTCATGGTGGTAGGAAACTGTATGTGCAGCATTTCTGCTTGAAATGATGCACATGCAGAGATATAGTCAGTTTTGTCCAGGGGACTAGTTACACTCCTGCACATGTGACTTAAAGTGCCCGGAATTTTGTTCGAGGCTGCCTTGTTTTAATCTGTGCAAAAACTACATTTGTTGTCAGTGCACACGGCATGCTAGAAACACATGTACTGTGCTATCTCCCCTCCCTCGCTTCTCTCATTTAATTCCTCCACACCTTAATGTTATTTATTTTTTTTTTTTTTATTCTTTATTTTTATTGTGCGTTGAGAGAAATACATGCAAGCTCGTGGCGCCCCAACAGCATTCCTTGAGCATATTTTCAAGCATAACAGTAGGAGCAGTAAAATAATCAGCACATTTTTGTATAACAACAGTAGTATAACATTAATATTCGGTATGACTGCGCTTTTGCATGGTTGAGGACCCAGTATCTGCCCGTGTTTATGTCCACAGTTCGCTATATATTAAATGGCGTCCAAAGACGTCTGTGTGGCTAGGCTACCTAGCTCTGCCTCAGGTTTGGGAGCATCAAAACAATCCTGCATCGCCATTATGCCATGCTGTACAATAGAGGGCTTGTGTGGGCCCGCTCGGCTAATGCCCTTTTTTCGGCCGGCTCTTGATTCTGGATAAACTAGTGGCATGGTGGTGGCTGAGACAGTGAGTCCAGCATTTCTTAGGGCTGGGCTCATACATTTGTGTTCAGACTTAGGGTGCTATTCCTGCTAGGCTTATGAAACACAATCTTATACATTGCAAGATATTAGCTAATAGAGTACATCACGTGTCTGAGTTACTGCATTATTTACTTTGATGTAGATTACATTACCCAAACCTAAGCAGACACAGAGTGGGGTATTCAATGGCAGGCTGCTAATCGCAGGTTAATCCTGCTGAGAGAGGTTATGGGCACTTATGCAAGTTGAAGTGATGCAAGAAAAGGAAAGTGCTTAAGAAATCATATAACATGGCTAAGCTGGTACATATAAAATTAATCAACAGTATGAACTATGTACACGCTGAGTGTGGATATCTGAGCCTTATTCTGCTGGCTGTTACAATGTCCCGTGAAGAGGTTAATTGTTTAGAGGTGGCCCCAGCTCCACATGTCACTCGGGTTGATCCCTTTCAGCCTATGCCCACAGGGTTTACCGGACTGTCCAGCATGGTGGTGACTCGCCAGGCAGCGGCTCTCTCGTTTGGTGAGGTGATGCCTTGCCCCGGACGGCCTGGGAAGCGGCTTAGAGGTGGCCGTGGTGGTTTCTCCATGTAGCCCAGGACAGGTGGTGGTATGTTGGGGTTCGGTACTTCACGGAAGCGGTGGGCAGGGCGTCTGTCCACGGCTCTCTGTCTCAGCCGGTAGTGTTGTTTCCGCGGCTTCCGTTGCTTTAGTGTAGTCGGAGTAGTGTGGGGTAGCTGTTGGCCCATAAGAGGCCTCCCAGGCCGCTCCTTATAGCTTACACGGTTGCGCAGCATGGCCCAAAACTTGTCGATTATGGCTCCCAGAGTGTCCGTTACATTGGTCTTAGGGCCTGCTGAGACAGGTTGTGGCAGTATCAGACCTCGTGTTGTAGGGCCTGGTGCCTCCGCCATCTTGAGTGACTCCCTTCCCGTGTGACTAGGGAGTTTTGCAGGGCTCACAGAAGCGTCCGCGACTGAGGCAGCTTGGGTCCTCGAGGACCGGGATAACCCCCACCGGTCCAGGGGGGGGAGGGAGGTGATTTGGGAGTGCTCCCTTGCCAGCCAGAGAACCGGGAGAGCGGCAGTCTCTCCTCGGCTCCCACCCGCACAGGCCGCAGGTCACGATTTGGTCCGCCCAGCACCGGAGAGCCAAGTGTCGGGTATCTCCGGTTGCAGTGCAGTCTCCTTGTCACGATTATTGCGTTTATCAGTCGATGTGATTGGGTGGTCGGGCGTTAAACCCAGAATCTTGGCTTCGGGCTCAGGAGCTCTCGACATGCACATCTAGTCCGCTTGTTAGTCAGGCTCCGCCCCCCTATTTTTATTTATTTATTTTAAATATCCCTCCAACCACTCTCTCTTTCTCTATATATATATTTTTTTTTTTACACACTACTCTACTACACTACTACTTAGGGTTTCCACCTGGCTGGTATTTTATTGGCACAGCCTGTGGCACGGCACAGTCTGTGATTTTCACAGTGAGAAGACGCCAGCGTCCATAGGAAAGCATTGAGGAAAGCATTGAGAATGTTTTCCTATGGACTGACTGAATGCGCGCGGCTGTTGCCGCGCATGCGCATTCGGTCGAAGAGGGAGGAGAGTCCCCAGCGCAGAGGGAGCTTGGCGCTGGAGAAAGGTAAGTGTTGAACCCCTTCCTCCCCCTAGAGCCTGGCGGGAGTGGGACCCTGAGGGTGGGGGGACCTAAAGACCATATAATGCCAGGAAAACAAGTTTGTTTTCCTGGCCCTATAGTGGTCCTTTAAGGTAATGCTGACTTTGTCTCTCTAACACTGTGGCATGTTCCCTTTCTTCTACACTCACTACATACAGCTTTTCTCTGTCCCAGACCATATACCAGGAGCTTCTGCCTGCTAGTAAGAAGGTAAGGAGAGGAGTGGACCAGCGAGTGCTAGGGGGACAGTCCTTAGAAAGCGCTGAGCGTGCGCATCATTAGACGCATTTATGCCAAGCTCAGGGTGCTGTCTGCATAGTATGCCCTTAGTTGGCCAGCTGCATGATTGGCAGGCAGCCTGACATGCATTCATACCAGGCTGGCCTTCTAATTCTTTGGGCAGACATACCCTTTTTTTGGGTATGTTCACCCCTTTTGGCAGGTTACGAGATTTGTGTCAGTGGCACACTCTTTTACCATGCCCATTGACTTCATGCTTGACTGGACACTGCTGTTAGGGATTTACTTGAAAGATGAAAACTTAAATTAGAGCAAGATTAGCATAGGGTATGTGTTTTATTATAGCTGCTGTTTTCTTTCCCTCCAGCACCATCTCCATCAGATACATGACACTTGGGACTGTTTTACTGTTTTTGGTCGATAAGATTCTGTAATTAGGCCCACCATAATTGTCAGCACCAGGCCCAATGGGCTGTTAATCTGGCCCTGTTTGTAGTAAAGTAGAAAAGATAATGGTCGTAGACACAATTTTAAAATACAGATATACACAGCTGCAAAGCTTAAAAATGGAATTATGTATACATGCTTTGTACATCCGTATTCTCCTAATATATAGCAGATATACAGCGGCCTATGTAATGCATAGCATATCATGAGAGATGCAAATACTGCCGTTATTTTCAAATAGAAAACAATGCAACACTGCAAGTCTGTTTATATTTAGCAGTGAGAACAATAATTGCGTAATGTGTAATGGTATATGAAGGCTTCTAGTTTTTACATAGGACTGCAGAGACAATGCTTGTGGGGGTGGGATGTTAAAGCAGCTTGTCTCTAATGCTCTTATTGTAGACTTGCTGCTAATGCACTATTCCTAAAGATGTTCTAGTTTTTGCTACAATTCGGAAACTTGGGATTCTATTTTGTAGGGTCACTTCTGGCTAAAATGAGCTAAGCTTTCAAATAGAGATGATTACATCAGAATGTTTAGATAATACACATTGTTTATTCTCATTTAAGGTAGTATAAGGACATGTCATAATGGCAATGCCATTCAGCAGTTAATTGGTAGTCTGGTACATATTGATTACATTGTAGCATGAGAGCAATGATATCACCCTCCATTCCATAGAGGTGCTGGCTAAGTAGAAGTCTTGTTTAATCTGAAGGATGCTTGTACAAAATAAAACTTCTATTATTAAAGTATTGTTAAAGGAACACTCCAAGTACTATAACCCTTACAAAGCAATTTAGTGGTTATGGCTCCAGGAGTATCCTGGTGTTCCAAGTATTCAAACCATGTAGATTTTTAACTTATTACCTGGTGTCCATCGACACTGTCCCCTGTCTCTACTACGTCCTATGGATCTCCTGCTTGCCTTAGCTCCCCCGTGCAAAGCCCTGCAGTGCCGTCTAGCTCACTGGCTAAGAGCAAGAGCTAGTTACACTCAGCCAATGACCTAAGCCCTGCACTGCTGGGTTTAGCTCAGATAGAGAGCTTCCAACTCTCCATAGAAAATAGTGGGGGCAGAGGGCAGCACTCACTGGACCCCAGGTTAGAAGTCAAACTATTCTTAAACATTTAGAATTAGCAATAGACAGCCCATAAGCTAATTTCCTTCATTATATGGATGACTTTCCAACAAGCCTGTCTTCAAGATCGTAATTTTCACTCAATATTTTGTGAAATTGATCATGGAGTAGGTGCAACGAAACCTTTAGTGGATAGACTATATGTTTAGTGTGAAGACATGAACACACACTACAATGATAACACATACATGTACATCTCTACAAGAGCCATCACCACCTGAGCGCTGTATACCAACAGCCTTCTGAGAAACGTATCTGCAGGATTCTCTGTCAGCACTGAACATTATTGATCTGAGGTTCTCCCTACTGTACATTGTGATGCTGTCTTAACCATATTAGTCAATTGCACCTATCAATAGCTTGCTGTGATGGTTAATTTTCTATAATGCTCAGCCTTCATTTGGGTTGTCTGCACATTAGAGGAATGGTAAAGGTAATGGTAAAGGTTAGCAATCATGGGTTACTTAGAACCTATTTTTTTTTTTACAAGGAAGCTGTTGCTAAGGTTCAAACTAAAATGAAACACAAATTAATTGTCACCAATCCCAATCCAACCATAATCGGATTAACAATGTTTAAAAAAAATAAATAAAAATAATAATAATAATAATATTAAAATAAAATAAATATTAATTTTAATTCACTGCTTATCGCTTGCTCTAAAATGTGCAAAGACAATAGAGAACAGGAACTTGGGAGGGAAACAGTGGAACAAAAATGTATGTAATGGCTGATTATAAAATAATTAACTGAAAGGAACACTCCAGTGAATATTTTTTTTAATGATTTAGTAGTCATGTTGTCTGCTTCCTTTGCAAGCCCTCCCCTGCTTGTTGAGAAGTGGGGAAGTCAGGAGCACTCTAAACTAGCTAAGAGAAGGGGAAGAAAACCTCCCTGGCTGTATGGTTGAGAGATTGGGAGACGTGTTTGTGATGTTTATAAAAGTGCTTATTGTAACAGAAATTGACAAAAACTTATCTGGCACCCATTGTAAAAATGTAAATTGGCTACCCCCTCTCCCACACACCCAAACTGTAGTTGTTTTTTTCTTGTTGTCTCTCTGCAGTGTCTCTTTTGCAGAGGCATACCTAAGTTCCATGGCACCTGGGACAGAATTATATTTTTGTCCCTCCTCCTTGTCTGCAAGGGCTCTATGCAGCAACCTCCAGGTGTGAATAGCTCTTTAGAATCTCTCTTTAAACACCAGAAAACACCTGCAGGGAAGAACAATGTATATGTTATGTTACTGGACATCTGTTTATACAGAGAAACACAAGGGGAGGATAAAACATAACAACTGCTAACAATATAAAAAGTTTAATTGAATTAAACTCACCCCTGGTGCCAGAGTGTCTCACCAGCACTAACTCATTCAATCTGGCAGGCTGCACTGATTAAATTAAACTTACAAACAAAATAACTCCACTACTACATAAAACACAGAAAGATTTTAGAACATGACCCTATGCTCACTTAATATTTGTCCACATAGTCTGTTAGTGTCATATATGGTCCATAGTATATGGCCAGTATATGGCCCATGGTCTCCATCTCGGAGGCTGGCCTCCAGTCTCCTCCACA